GTAGTTTTTGTATTACTACCCCCAAGCTTCCATAAGTGGGTCAAAAATGACCCGCATGCATTTTCTATGGAATTTCGTTTTTTTTTCAAAATGTAAAAGAAATGTCTAAAATTATAAACAGTGAAAAATTAAATATCAATATTTCTAGTGTGAACCAAAATATAATACTAAATATTATACAAATGATTTTTCTTAACCAAAATGACAAAAATGGCATAAAAACACATATTATTCTAATACGGGTCCTTTTTGACCCACTTATGGAAGAGTGTAGGGTCCAGTCACTCGTGCATCTAAGGGTTAAGGAAAAGATTGTAAATGAATGAAAATGACAATGGAACAGAACAACTGACCAGTATATGAGCTCTCAGGCCCGTTTTGAGGGATCTTGTAAGTTACGTCCTTGTTGCTGAAGAAGTTGAACTGCCGAAAGGTGTAGAACAGGAAGTCTCCAAGGTACTCGTCCATGTAGACGGTCAGGATCCTGCGGTCAAAGCTATCGATGGCTCGCCCACCATACATCACCTATTGAACATTTTACACATCTGCTTAATTTACAGCATCAACCAGCAATATAAAACATATGCTAATAAAATACAATGCAGTTGGACTTACCTCCCCAATAAGGTATTTGAGACTTCCCCATGGGATATCGCTATCTTCTTGGTTGTGAGCTTTGGTCAGGTAGGTGTTCAGGATCTCCATACTCACCTGTTAAATAGGATACAGTTCAAAATCCTCACTCTCACCTACAGAGCATTGCACGGTCAGACTCCTGCATATGTGGCTGACCTAATTCATCCATACACATCAGCCCGCCCACTCAGGTCACACATGCACAATGTACTGTCTGTCCCACGTACCCACCTTAAGACCGAGCGTTCGAGGCCGTGGCTCCTAAGCTATGGAACGCTCTGNCAATGTGCAATACAGATAGAACTAAGCTATAAGTCACATTCAGTAAATCATAACAATAGATATATAATGTTTACATCGGAAATAGATGATACATTTACCTTTTACTGCTGCCATATTCATGTCACTGCCCCTCACCTAAACCCACTCAGGTCACACAAGCTCAACTTACTGTCTGACCCACGTACCCACCTTCAGACCCGCGGTGACCGAGCGTTCGAGGCCGTAGCTCCTAAGCTATGGAACGCTCTGCCCGCTCATCTACGGTCTGCGGACTCTGTTGACTCCTTTAAAACTAATTTAAAGACATTCCTGTTTGGGCAGGCGTTTGGGTAACCGGTGTGCTTGATTTTATTCTATACTATACTATGTTTTGGTTCTTTTATGACTTCTTAACACGTGGCTTGTGTGGTCATTTATCATTGTACAAAATTCTATGATGATGTTTTATTATTTTGTCAAGCACTTTGTGACTTTGTCTGTGAAAAGCGCTTTGTAAATAAACTTTACATTACATGTTACTTGTTAGACGCTTCTATCCAAAGCGACTTACATACTCAATACTGTGGGCAGTCCCCACAAGAGCAATTTGGGGTGAAGTGTCTTGCCCAGGGACACAACGACATGCTGACTGCAGTGGGGTTTGAACCTGTAATCCCCGGATCCGAACACCAGCACACTAGTCCACTGCGCCACACGCCTCCACTTTACTTACTTAAACACAGTTGTTCGAACCATTCAGAAGTGAAATACAACTGATATCAAACCACCTAGATAGAGACTAATAATCAAACAAAAACCCTAATTGCAAATGGGTACCCCGTCACTTACGGAGAAGTCAGACTCATTGAAGTCGTAGGGGACGTTCCAGCCAATCTTGCCGTACTTGCGCCTCTCTTGCACCACAGCGTGGAAGAAGGCCAGCACATACACCAGGCTGCGGAAGGCTGGGTGAGGACATGACGCCAAGGTCTCACGGGAGATTTTAGAGTATGTGGCTCTCATGTTCAGCTTCAGGCCATTGGGAGGCTCCGTCACCACCTGCATACACACAATATTAAATGTTAAAACAGACATTCTTAAAAAACCTATCATTCATCATCAAGTTACTCTGCAAAATGTCTACCATCAAAACACCAGTCTTCGAAGCCAAATCCAAAATAATTAACTGAAAACACTGCTGAAGCTAAAGAGAAATTGCGTTTCACCTTTAGAGACTTTTGCAGGATGCCGATGGGGAAATCTGTAATAGGGTTAGTGGTGACCCACAGGCGGAAGTTGGGGTTGGGCTTGGTGATCATCTCTAAGGATTTCTCCAGATCCTTTAGCCACTTTACCAGCAGGTGGCAGTTCTGCAGCATCAGCCACTGACCCCGGGACACCGCCATCTCCAGCAACTGCAGTGCCACCTTAATCACAAGAACAGAGGATAATGACACTCAATGTCTTTACTATTGTTACTTAGTGTGACTACTTCTACGACTTGACCACACATAAAGCTTTTGGACTATGAACAACTGGGATTCAGTACCTTCTCTTGGCCTTGGCCCATAGCAAGGAACTTGAACTTGTTGCCTTCAAAGCCGGACCTCTCTGCTAGTTTCATGAGGTCAGTGGCTGGGTCAGAGCCGGGGCTCAGGATGAACACAATGGGGGAGAAGGGTGTGCTTTGTTCATGAATGGCATCAAAGTTGATCACAGGGGGCTGCACATATCTGAGCAGAAACAAAACGGAACAAGAGGAAGTAGTTACATTACATGTTACTTGTTAGACACTTTTATCCAAAGTGACTAACATACATTCAGTACTGTGGGCAATCCCCACAGGGGCAAATTGGGGTGAAGTGTCTCAGGGACACAACGACATGCTGGCTGCAGTGGGACTCGAACTTGCTATCCCCTGATTCAAAGTTCAGCGCACTACTCCACTGAGCCACAGCCTCCCATCTAGTTAAACTCAAAGCTTGATTTCATTCTGTGTAAATAAGGATATCTTCTGTTAACATCGTCTAATAACACAGTGGTGTACTGTATATACATACGCTCTATATATTGTGTACAGAGTGATATACTGTACACAGTAACTGCAATATTGGAATAGAAACAGGCTCACTTCTCGCCCATGGTGACAGTGACATAGTCAGTCCCAGCTCTGTAGACTCTATCAACACGGAAGCAGCGCAGCAACAGCAGCTTCTGAAAGGCTGAAAGGTTCTCCTGATATTTCATGGGGTATGGAGCTTGTTCTGGTGCATCTAGGTCATACCACTGAAGAGAGAAAAAAGTCAAAAGTCAACTCTCCATCGATGAAGTAAGATGACCATTTTGATTCTTGTCTCTTCGGTCACTTACAGACTTCCATTCAGTGGAATTTTTCTCCACGTCGTCCGGCAGAGAGCCAAACTGCGGGGGAAACAGCTCAGCTAGTTTCACTATGTCCTCCCAGCCTTGGTTTCCAAGCCAGTCAAAAGGCTTTTTGCGGGTGCTCTTTTCCAGCGATAGATTACCTTAACAAATGAGATGGGGGAAAAAACATTTGTCTAATGTGCAATGACTGTAGTCTACTTTTAGAGGAGTTCAACTTCTTTGAATATCTAACCCTTGATGAAGAACTCCAACTCCTCCTGAGGTGACCTTCCTTCTGCCTGTTCAATCTTGATGGTCATGTTGAAGGAGAAGAGCAGCTTGTGTCTCTCAAACAAACCTGTGGGTATGCAGTTAGTTCAGATTATATTATATTATTACATGGTTTAGTTGAATACTCGATTCTGATTGGTCAATTCAGAACAAGTGACACGTTGTTAATCCAGTAGTACAGACCGCTGTCAAGCACTTATTGACCGTTGTTAAGGACGCTCACACCTGCACAAAGAGGTTCAGTCGATTTAACTGCATACAGTTTGGCTGAAAAGCAAACTGCATGCATCGGGCTCCTGATCTGCCTGTCGGGTGTTCTTTTCCCCATAATGACCGCCTCGCTGCACATTATCCCTTTCATAAATAATTTGATTTATCTTAAGAAATGTATCCCTTTCCATCAATTCCATGATTCAATTTTTATAATGTCCCTG